AGAGGAAATGCAAACGAATGAGAGGTGCTGTTTGGGGTGCCGTTCACGGCATTCAAGAGTTGGGGCTTAACTCCAGTGCCTATCAGTTGAGTTAATTCAAGCTGAGAAATACAGCGCAAGATTTCGAGCCATGATTTGCCCAAATAGTTGCCGTCTGTGTGCGCAACAGTTATCAGTGTTTTAATTGTATCGATATTTTTGCTCTTCATTTCGCTGGGAGTGGAAGTGGCGGTCAAGAGTGTGAACCGGGATAAGGCCTGAACGTATGCGTCCCTCTCTAAAGTCATCTGGAATATTGACGCTATTCTTATGGCACATCTGATGCCATCCAAACACAAACACGCAATTTCTGGGTCATCGCAGTCTTGGAGACCGACACTAAAAGCGGCCAAAAATGGTGTCCAAGCGATCCTGAACATGGGTCTCACGTGCTCGTGATGTTTGGCTAAAGTGAACTGCGATTCCACATGAGATACGCTCTCCATTAAGGCCTTTGCTGTGGCGGCCATCGACTCCATCTCCACGTTATAGAGGATACGGCGGGTCTTCTCACTCGCCACCTCTCGACCCAATTTGCGTCGACTTGTGTTATTGGCCTTCATTTTGATTTCACTGCCGGCGATCTCATCGTATATTTGAGACAAATACTCTTCGGGCAAATCCTTGCTGTCATTGATTCCGCGATTCATAACAATGTATTGGTTTTTAGTAATTTTGTTCTTCACTTGAACGCTGTGGAGGTCTGTCGTCAACATAATGATAGAATAGGCCAACACATAGGCGGTGTCGGCGCTGGCGAACAGACCATTATTGAAGTTAGTCTCGCAATAACGCGCCGCAAACTTCTCCATAAGTCTGTCGATCTTCTGAGCCTCTCCGGGCAGTCGAAAGCCCATCAGAAATGAACGAAGCGCTGACACAAAGTCTTTGCCCGAGAAGTCCATCTGATCGACGTATGCGCACATGACTTCCCTGTTGAAGGGGTCGATGTCGCCCAAGAACTCCCCCACTTGTGTCTTGTCCAGCGTTTCGTTGGTGTGAAACAGTTGTGCGACACTCGAAGCGCTCGTGTCTATAACGTTGTGCTCCTGAAGGAAAGCGATTCCTTTCATTGGCTTCATATTAAACAAAGAGATTCCGTGTTCTATAATGTCTTTCTGATGCTTCACTTCTTCGTACTGTTGAGGGCTATCGAGTTCTAACTGTCCCTTAGTGTCAGTGTTAGACGTATTGAAATTGTCATCAATGGCTTCTTCACTCGCATTGGTATTGTCTTTATTAGTATTGTTGTCCACTCTTTCATTTCCCAAATTCACTAATTGGTTGGGATTCACATAAAGATCTTTACTCCACTCAACCATACATTTGAGAATCGATACCAAACACTCCAAGCCTTTGATTCTCATACTTCTCTCCTGAGTGGTGGTAATGATAATGGCGTCTAACATATGTCCTCTTCCCTGTGCTATCTTCGACAAGTCGTTGACAAGTCTTCGAAATACGTTCTCTGACTGGAGATTACAGTCATAATTGACATAAATATCGACAACACTCTGGGCGTCGGCGCAGATTCTGGTCAGCGCCTGAATAACCATCCATTTGTGCTCAAAAGAACTCGTGATTGTCTCCAAAATGTTCAAAAATATCTCCTTAAAGAAGACTTCGATTTGCATTTTGAGGTGAACTTTGAATTTGTGCAGAAGTGCTAAGAAGATGGCCAACGAGAGCTCAAACACTTCGGGAACATTTGAGACGCCGTTCTTAGAGAGAGCGACACATAAGTATTGTTTGATCGCAACCGCAAACATATCACTCGATTGAAACACTGGTCCAGAGTTTTGAAGTATTGATAAAATAAGTTGAAGCGAAAGAATTTTAGAGCGAAGTTCGTGTGATTTGGGGTCTGGATGTCCGTCGGGAAGGGGTTTCATACTTAGCTTACATAACGAGCGGAACACTAAAAATGCGTCCTTTTGTAGCACATGAGTGAAACTCAAGTGAATCGTATCACTAGATATGGCCGAAGAATCAGTCGTTTCGATGCTTTCGGAGGAAGGAATGCGAGCACCCATTGAAGACACGTCCAAACCGTCTCCACTCTCACCGCTCTCTTCCAGAGTTGTTGTGCTCACAGACATAGACGGGAGTGTAGACGACGAGAGAGTGGACGGCATTGTCGTCATATTCACTACTCTATCAATCATATCATTGACAACACTTTCAACCACTGCCTCGACGGATGTCGAGTCATCATTGGCGGCAATGCTAGTCGTGTCCTCAATGTTGCCATTAATGGTATTGCTGTCCAATTGGGGACAATCTGAAGGCTTTTTGTCCACATATTGCGCTTCCATTCGACTGAAGATAACGTTAAGCATTTGAGTGAGAGTGGCCTTCGCCGTGGTTTGATTGATGAGGTTCTTTGAACCGAGATATATGTTATAACAGGTGCGCACAGCCAGCAAAATGCTGCCCTCGTGGACCTGACAGGAATGGGATGTGACGGTTGTGAGCAACGCCTTAATGATCTGTAGCTGAACGCCATCGTCGGTGTTGGGGCCGTGAAAACAGCCGCAAATGGTCTCCACAATGGAGTCAATGAGAAGTTTGTCGGCATTGTTGGGATCGACTCGATTGCCGGTGATGTGTCCGTAAGCAATGAGTTTCTGAATGCAGTCCAAAGCCGTCACCACAATCTTCGGTGACTTTGATTGACACGAGAGTTCAAAGGGCAGGAAATACTTCTCGGCGTCGATGGACACGGCGTTGTCTTTCTTGGGCTCCGGGAGGGCTGACGACACCTCCACCTCTTTGGACTCATTGGGCACTTCTTGCGATTCCCTCTTTATGTCCTCTAAAGGCGATACAAAACACAGAGAATTGAGTACAGAATGAGACAAATTATGGACAAGTTGTGGACAAACCCAGAGCCGATTCGCAGGCTTTCCTCACTTGACTGTTGTGTGATTTCTTGATCTCCTTGTCGTTCAATATCTTCTGCAGGGCTCGCGTAATAAACATCTCTTTGTTTTTGTTTAAGTTATTAATCATTATTGCGGTTAAAGTCCATATTATTGTCTACTCTTAACACCAATTCACTAATAAATGGATCATTGGATGAGTGGTTAAGTGATTCACAATTTGCATCATTTATATGAAATTCAGTGCAATTGACGTGAAATGTAATATAATTGATAACTAAAGGCAATTATTGACAAAAGTGATTGACTTTGACAATAAAGTGAGTGAAAAGTGATTAACAGATAATGCATATAAGATGAACATATAATTAATATGTATTAATAGCAACACTTATACAGTAGTTAACAATATTTGACTAAATATTGAAAACATTTCAATCATTTGATGACAACATCACAAACTCATTACATGTGATACTATAGCAGTCGTTCACAAATAACAGGACATCCATATCGGGGTTGGGTTACAAATCGTATTTCACCAGTTTGTACACTTTTATAGGATATCATCTCATTTATAGCGTCTCGGTAACTGATAATCAGTGACTCAGGTATCCAGGTTATTTTGACATGTTTTAGAAATTGTTATATGATACTAAATAAACATTACTTTTAATCGTATAATAAATATCACGTTTGATATTTGTTTAGCAACTGTTTGCAAACTATCGATGACTGCAATCAACATCTCATACCGTACTTGAAAAATAAAACAAATTGAAATTTTAATTAATATAAATTAATATTTATTCTTCAATTAATTAACAATTTTTCATTATTTGAATTACAATTTGTTTAATTAATAGAAAATCATAAATAAGAAAACATTTAGTATTAAGTATTAAATGAGAAATAATTTAGTGGATCAGCTATGAGTGGACTTTTGATGGATAGGAATTGAGTGATAGAATGAGTGGTTTAGTCGACCTCTTCGATGGTGGGCCCGCCGCCAGAGCCGCCTCCGGGCGCAGCGCCGGCACCTCCGGGAGGAGCACCGCCCGCGCCGGGGAAGCCGCCCGGAAAGCCTGCGGCACCTCCGGGGGCACCGCCGGCGCTCTGGTAGAGCTTAGTGATGATGGGATTGCACACGCCTTCCATTTCCTTCTGCTTGTGCTCGAACTCCTCCTTCTCTGCCAACTGATTCGTGTCCAACCATTTGATGACATCATTCACTTTGTCGAGAATCTTCTTGCGGTCCTCTTCGGGGATCTTATCCTTCACTTTGTCGTCCTCGACGGTCGACTTGATGTTGAATGCGTACGACTCGAGCGCATTCTTGGCGCCGATGCGGTCCTTCTGCTTGTCGTCCTCTTCCTTATAGGCGTCCGCCTCTTTAACCATCCTTTCGATCTCCTCTTTGGAAAGCCTTCCCTTATCGTTAGTAATCGTTATCTTATTCTCTTTGCCGGTACTCTTGTCAACGGCCGACACATTGAGAATACCGTTCGCGTCGATATCGAAGGTCACCTCAATCTGAGGCACACCTCTGGGCGCCGGAGGAATGCCAGTCAACTCGAATTTGCCCAAAAGGTTGTTGTCTTTAGTCATGGCTCGCTCGCCCTCATACACCTGAATCAGAACTCCCGGCTGATTGTCTGAATACGTCGTGAATGTCTGCGTCTGACGGGTCGGTATCGTTGTGTTGCGTTTGATAAGAGTGGTCATCACTCCGCCCGCAGTCTCGATGCCCAGCGACAGAGGGGTCACGTCGAGTAGTAGGAGGTCCTGCACGGCCTCACTCTTGTCGCCGTTCAGGATCGCCGCCTGAACTGCGGCCCCGTATGCGACGGCTTCGTCCGGATTAATGCTTTTGTTCAGTTCCTTGCCGTTGAAGAAGTCCTGAAGCAGTTTCTGGATTTTGGGAATCCGTGTCGACCCCCCGACCAGTACGATGTCGTGCACCTGAGCCTTGTCGAGCTTGGCGTCCCTCAACGACTTCTCCACCGGATCCAGAGTCGAGCGAAACAGGTCTGCGTTCAGCTCTTCGAAGCGCGCTCTCGTGACCGTCGAGTAGAAGTCGATGCCCTCGAAGAGTGAGTCGATTTCGATGGACGCCTGAGTGGAGGACGAGAGCGTCCTCTTCGCGCGCTCGCAGGACGTCCTCAGCCGACGCAGCGCTCGCTTATTCACCGCCAGATCCTTCTTGTGCTTGCGTTTGAACTCCTGTACGAAATGGTTGACCATTCGGTTGTCGAAGTCCTCGCCTCCCAAATGGGTGTCTCCGGCCGTCGACTTCACTTCGAAGATGCCGTCTTCGATGGTGAGGATCGACACGTCGAACGTACCGCCGCCCAAGTCGAAGATGAGGACATTGCGCTCTCCCTGACCCTTCTTGTCGAGTCCGTACGCAATGGCGGCCGCCGTCGGCTCATTGATAATCCTCAGGACATTGAGACCACTGATAGTTCCGGCGTCTTTGGTCGCCTGACGCTGACTGTCGTTGAAATAGGCCGGAACTGTCACCACAGCATTCGACACCTGTCCGCCCANGAATCGGAGACGACATCGAAGGGCCAGTGCTTCATATCTGACTGAACCGACGCGTCTTCAAAGCGCCGCCCAATGAGTCTCTTGGCGTCAAAGACTGTATTCGAGGGATTCATAGCGACCTGATTCTTCGCCGCGTCTCCTATCAGGCGCTCTGTGTCTGTGAACGCGACGTATGATGGCGTTGTCCGATTGCCCTGGTCATTCGCTATGATCTCGACCTTACCATGCTGAAACACACCCACACACGAGTACGTCGTCCCCAAGTCGATCCCGATCGCCGCCGTCTTTGCCATTCTTGTGGTGATTAGTGATCTATTGACTGTTGGATCAGTTCAACCAAATATAGTACACTATATATGATATATAGCTATGAATTGAGTTCACTATTCAACGGATTCTCGCTTTTAATGCTTCACTGAAACACTGACTGAATGTCTACTGAATGCCGGACTCTCTCTCCACTGACTTATAACTGCTTTGAAAGCATTGAAAGCATTGCCACTAAAGTCGAGAACATTCGAGAAATACTCGTCCCATACATGACGTGCACTCCAGTCGTGCCCTTCAGTCGTGCCCTTCACTGCACGACACACTGACTCACAGCCCAACACACGTCTCCCTCCCCTCCTGTCCTCAACGCATACTTTATGACAGGAATTGGTGGCAAACGAGTGAATCACCGGTTTCTAGAAGTTTCTCGAATATAGTGAATCACGTGATCGACAGCACAGAGGAAGTGAATGTCTGAAAGACTGACTGAAAGTGTAATCCATTCACAGATTATTGACTGAAGAGAAGAGAAGTAGGGATCAAATGGGAGACCAAAATGAGGACAAAGTTGTGGACAATAAATGCATTTTCTGTAACATATCTAACAAAATGACAGCAAATACTCAACTCTTATATGAAGTGAGACTTGACTTCACTGTCACTTCCTTAACCTATCTATCATTTCATCCAAAAGGATGACAATTATGTGATCATCCGAGACATCCGACCAGTTGTCGATCACCACTACCTCCTCATCACTAAAAGCCATATAAAAAATGTCAAACAAATGAAGACAAGAGAAGGCATTGAAATGAGTGTGTCTTTGATCGTCTTCGCCATGAAATGGCATTTAATGACAATTCAATTGATTTACAGTTAAGGATATGAAGCGAATTGGTCTCCAATTCATGTCCGACCAGACACTGACCGATGAGTTGCAGTTGAGGCAAGTGTTCACTTGATTACCACTGAGTCCATAGTCATACTGACCACTACCCCACCCCCACAACCCTCCCCAATCCCTATGCAGAATGGGTTTCCATTGGCCCCCATTCCACAGCATATCTCACCTTCATTTGCATCTCTTGTATCCCACTTCGCAAATGTCTTGGCTCTCGAGGATTATCTTCAGACCAAGTGTTTGGTTCGTTGAGGTGACCATACAATTGACACCATTTTCGCATTCAAATGAATTTCAAGAACTTATCATTTGTTTCATAGATTAACGATACGATTGAATGGCTGTCCAAACAATAACCTCTTCAGCCATTAACGCATCGATTGTTTTATTGTTGTATTAAATTAATTACAATTTTTATAGTCTTATAATAAATGATTTAAAATTATGTGAAATGAATGCCATTAGTGTTGAAGGCGTGAAGAAGTGCGAGGAAGTGGTCGATATCCATAGTTCGCGCCCTTTTACTGTCGAAATCACTGTCTTTGAGGATCTGTTGGATCATGTCTTTGATATCGAAGTTGTCTTCGATTGCAATGTTATTGAGTGAACAGTGGATGCGGTAGTTATGGGACAACATCTCAATCACGTAATTGTGTTTGAATTGAGCGGAAAGTGTCTTATTTTTGCGCATAAAGCAGATCCTCAGCAATCCGTCCCACTCTTTGAAGTTGATATTCGGCGGCGGATTAATCGGTTCCAAACGGATGACACTGGACTCCACTTTAGGCGGCGGACGGAAGTTGTTTTTCGCCACTTTCATCAACACATCCACGCGAGACAACAGCTGAGTGTTGACCGATAGTCTGCAATACATCTTATCTCCCGGTTTGGCGACCAATCGCTGCGCGAACTCCTTCTGAAACATCAATACAGCGCTCCTGAAGAATGGTCTGTGGAGTAGCAGTTTGAACACAAATGGCGACGATATCTGATACGGAAGGTTAGCCACGCAGACGTCGAAGAATGGCAACTCTTTCTTCAAGACGTCGCCCACTATTATCTTCAGTTTGGTCTGCAGTGACGTCGACTGCACTCTCTTCTGGAGTTCGGCCACAAGTCTTGTGTCCACTTCGCAGACAACCACTTGTTTGCATTTGTCCAGCAGTTTGACAGTCATGTTACCGGTTCCCGGACCCACTTCCAGCACTGTGTCCGTCGGTCTTAAGCTGGCCTTCAGTCACGCAAACCATCATTAAATCAATGTCTCAATTGTCACTCAAATGCAAACCTTTTCAATCATATTAGTGATCACCAGAGGGTTCTTAAGGATGTGTTGACCCAAACTCTTGTCGAAACCAATGCCCTGTTTCTGGATCTCATTGTGTTGTCTCGACTTCTTCTGTGGTCTCACTTTCGGCATAATTACTAAATTCAGTGCAAAACTAATCACACAAACAGACCAACAGTCGTAAACACGAGTCATGTGTTCATCGCATGCTTTTGCGGGCATTTAAATCGGTTGCCGTTCAGTGCCATAGATGGCACTCCACTGACTGTCCATTGCTTAGGGTTTGTATTGAATTGAATAGTAATTGAAGAATATTTGTATATATAGTTTGGAGACAGAGACGGAATCTTTGATTGTATTCACTATATATACAAGAAATATGTGAGCATTGCTTCCCTCATCCTATTATATGTACTCTTATATTGATTTTATTATTTACGCCTTCCTTACAGTCCTTACAGGCCTTACAGTCGTCTCATAATTTGGATAATAAATGGTTGAATCGTTTGAAGCAAATGCTGGCCATGTCTTGAGATGTCAACACAAACCGTGTCCTCAACTCAACACACAGTCATGTGATGTGAGGGACCGCTCATGAAATGCAATAAACACTACATTATTAGGGGTTTTGTTGTATTGAATCATTGAATTAGAGTTTTTGATAAGTTTTTGAGACAAACCAGTGGTTTAGGAATAATTGTAATTTGAAATGAATTCATTAATAAATTATAAACATTTTATAACCAATTTGGAGACTATTTAGCAAAAAGTATATTAGTTTTGGTTAAAGTGCTCTAATCTAGTTCATTTCATTACACATTCATCGCAAGCACCTATCATATCAGACGCAAATTAATTTAAACTGTTTAGACTAATACCGGTACTTTAAATTACAATACAAAAATATCTAATAACTTATTTGTTACAAACACTTAAATAAATAATAAATAAATAAATCTATCTTGTTTAGAATCACTTTCAAGTTAATACTGGTTTTCAAAGTAATCCATTTGTTATTAGTATTAGTTTGTAGTTAGTGTTGACTTTTTGTTTTATAATTAATAATATATTTAATTCTTATGCATATTATTTTATGTACAGTATGATACTGTCAGTATCATAAAATATTGTATTTACCTTGTTATAAAATATTCATTTCGTAAAGATCTGTCAATATAATGTTAAAACTTCATTTTCATTTTGGACTAGTTCAAATTTGTTAAATTCTTATCTGGTGTCCTTTCTTAGATATATAAAGTTTAAACAATAAATAAATTATAAATTACATATATTGTATTACTTGATTGGTAAATAATCGGTTTTCACTACCACTTAAAATACAGTACAATTTGTTATTATTTTTGTTACTAGTCTAACATAATAGTCTAACATGTCATATAATATAAGGGAAACTGAAGTGGAGTTCAGATAACCACCACTTCTTGTCATTATTTTTATGTCCGAACCTTAGTTTGAGATAAGACTTGAGTTTTACTTTTATTTAAAGTTCTTAAACTTATTGTAAAATATTTTAAGTCATATTTGTAAATTACACTTTATATTCAGTAGTTTCCCATACTCAGGGTTATTCTGTATTCAGTTATTAGAGTCTCATGTATTGAATAAAAGTAATTTAATTGTGTATTGAATTGAGAATTTCGTAATTATTGACTTCCGTTTCAAAACTTTTTTAGTATAACTTATTAAATGAATAGACATTTAAACATAAAAAGGGCATTAAAAATGGTACCAGCTAACTTTTAAAGTATAACAGTAGGCAACAGTAATATATAAACAGAACTCAATTCGAGTAATAGTTGAGAGCATTGACAGTGGAGTCACTGAACCACTCATTGGGAGTACAGAATATTTAGTGTCAAGAATCGAGAGGATCTAGTCATGAGAATGGGTTGCAATGTCAGCACTTAACACATGAATAGTGTATGAATTATGAATATATTATCAATTTATAGTATAAAAGTAACCAGATGTCATTCTAATTATATTTTCATAATTATTGAAAATGTATTGAATTTTATAAAAATCTATAAAAATAAAAATTAGCAAGCAACTTAATGAAAAGTTACAAAACTTTTACAAAAAGCTTTGATTTCAATGACTTATTGCTAATTATAATATAAGCTTAAAATATGTATGGGTCGGCCCACTCGCCCCCACATTCACCCCATTTGAACCCACATTCCTGTGTTTCTCATCGTTTCTATTCATTAGAAACCAATTCTTGTCTTCAATGCACTCCAAAACTGCAATAGCCGTCAGCGTAGGGGTAATGCAGTGGTTATGAAATGTCTGCAAAAGTGTAGAAACTGCTCATTCAGTATAAAGTATGCGTTGAGGACAGGAGGGGAGGGAGACGTGTGTTGGGCTGTGAGTCAGTGTGTCGTGCAGTGAAGGGCACGACTGAAGGGCACGACTGGAGTGCACGTCATGTATGGAACGAGTATTTCTCGAATGTTCTCGACTTTAGTGGCAATGCTTTCAAAGCAGTTATAAGTCAGTGGAGAGAGAGTCCGGCATTCAGTAGACATTCAGTCAGTGTTTCAGTGAAGCATTGAAAGCGAGAATCCCTTCAATAGTGAACTCAATTCATAGCTATATATCATATATAGTGTACTATATTTGGTTGAACTGATCCAACAGTCAATAGATCACTAATCACCACAAGAATGGCAAAGACGGCGGCGATCGGGATCGACTTGGGGACGACGTACTCGTGTGTGGGTGTGTTTCAGCATGGTAAGGTCGAGATCATAGCGAATGACCAGGGCAATCGGACAACGCCATCATACGTGGCGTTCACAGACACAGAGCGCCTGATAGGAGACGCGGCGAAGAATCAGGTCGCTATGAATCCCTCGAATACAGTCTTTGACGCCAAGAGACTCATTGGGCGGCGCTTTGAAGACGCGTCGGTTCAGTCAGATATGAAGCACT